GGTCCTCCTCCTCCTTCCTCGTTCGCCTCCTCCTCCTCCTCCTCCTCCTCCTCCTCCTGCTCCTCCTCCTCCTCCTACTCCTCTGGGACAGGGCTCGCGTGTGACCTTCTACATGCTCTCCAATGCCGGAACCGCGGCTGCGGCTCGGCAGCCGGCGTTTGCCCCGAGCAGCGGAGCGTGCCCGCAGCGGCGCCTCGCGGGGGGCAGAGCCTGCTCGCGAGGGGCAGGGAAGGCTGTGCTGGTCTCGGCCCCCCGCTTTCCGACCATCTCGGCCCTCCAAGGCGAACAAGGGGGAGGATGGGGGATCAGGGGAGGAGGGGGGGCAGGAAGGGGGAGAGGGGTGCAAATGGGGGGGAGGGGGGGAGAGGAGGGGGGGGGGGAAGGGAAGGACGGGGGGTGGGAGGAGGGGGGTGGAGGGACGGGGAAGTGGTTAGGGGGGATAAGGGAGGGCGAAGGTGGGGGGAAGGGAATGGGAGAGGGAGGGGGGAGGGGGGGAGGTGGGGCAGGAGAGGAGGTGTAGGGAAGGGGGTGAGGGGGGGGGCAGGAGGGAGGGGGAAGGGTCGGGGGGAGGGAGGGTGGGGGGGAAGGACGGGGGGAGGGGCAGGGAACGGCGGTGCTCCAAGGGGGGAAGGCAGAGGAGGCAGGCCTCCTCGGGAGACTCGGGAGGCCTCGGGCCCTTCTGAGAGGAGCGCTCGAAGCCTGAGGCCGAAGACGTATAGACGGCCTCTCAGCAAACAGGGATAGCCTCTGAGACGCCTCGCGGCCTTCTGAGAAAGCCCGTCCTCTCCAACTTCCCCCCTCGCGCGCCGCCGAAAAAGGAGGAGGAGGAGGAAGAACGGAACGGAACGGAACGGAACGGAACGGAAGACCCGAAGGGGAGTGCACAGCACTAAATATTTGAGCAGAGCTTAAAACGATAAAACAACTTAACAAGGAGGAGGAGGGAGGAGGAAGACAACCTGGGCCCTCAGAGACCTGGACCCTTCCCGAGGGACCACATCTCCCTCCATACATGGAGGGAGATTTGGTCCCTTGGGAAGGGTTAGAAAACGTCAGAAAACGACTATAGTCGTTTTCTAACGGTCCTTGGCCCGCGCCCAGGCGGGTGCCCGCCAGGACAGGCGGCAGCCTGACAAAAAAAAGCCGTGGTGGCGGTCTGCTAATCTCTCGATATCTGGCAGGAGGCGGCGACGAGTCCAGGCGATGAACTCCGAACATCCTACCCCCACGAACCATCGACCCTCCTGAATATCGATGAGAGGCGGGGGTAGGGCCAGGATCTTGCTCCACGGGCTCGGCACACTCCGAACCCTGCCCCCCCGCCGCCCATCGAGCTGCGCGGATCGTGGATCGGCGAGGGTGCGGTCCGGACTTCGGGTCGCCGACTCCTGCGGGTCGCGGACTCCTGCGACCCTACTCCTCCTCCTCCTCCTCCTCCTCCTCCACCTCCTCCTCCTCCTCCTCCTTCTCCATCTCCTCCTCCTCCTCCTCCTCCTCCTCCTCCTCCATCTCTTCCTCCTCCTCCTCCTCCTCCTCCTTCTGCTCGTCCTCCTCCTCCTCCTCCTCCTCCTCCTCCTCCATCTGCTCGTCGTCGTCCTCCTCTTCCTCGGAGCCCCGCGGGATCGGCGGCGGCGCGCCGCCCGCGCCTGCGCCCGCGGGATCTGCACCACGGGCCTGGGCGGGCGGCCGCGCCGGGGCCCACCGAGGCGCAGCCGCGACGCAGCCGCGGCGGCGTGGCCGCCGAGGGCAGCACAGCGGCGCAGCGGCGCGGGGCGGCGGCGGCGGCGGCGGAGGTCGGGCGTATGCCGCCCCAGGGGGGTGATAACAGAGGGGGGCACACAGGACTCCTGCAGGAGCCCCATGCGGGCCCCTTTCCTGCGCCCTCCATCCCCCCTATGTGGGAGGCCCTCGAGAGCCCACATGTTGGGTGCCCTTGAAAGCCTTGGGAGCCCCCCGCAAGCGGGTCGAGGCCCCCTGCAGGGCCCCTTCCGGACTCCGCTCGGGGGTCCTTTCGATTAGATATATCCCCTTCATGCTTATATTAGGGCCCTTTGAGAAACCCGTTGAGGGTCGCTTCATGACCCTTGGAGCTCAAAGGGCCCTGAAGGAGCCCAACAAGACTTCTAGAAGTCTTGTCGGGCCCCTTCATCTGCAACCCCCATCCCCCCCCCCAACTGATCGCGCCCCCCCTTGCGAAACGCCCCCCGAGGGCAGCGGCGGCGGGCCTGCCGGCGGCGGCAGCAGGCGCGCTATAGAGAACGGGCGGAGGATGGCCGGGCAGAGGCTGGGGCGGGCCGCCAGCGCGGCAGCGCGCTTAAGCGCCCGCGCTCGACGTGCGGGGGGCAGCTCTGCGGGGCTGGCCCTCGCCCGGGCCCCCGCTCCGGCCCTGGCTCCGGCCCCAAACCCGGCCGTTGCCGTGGCCGTGGCCCCGGCCGCGGCACCAGGCCGCGGCCCCGGCCCCGGCGTCCCGGGAGGGGACCCCGGGGTCCCCGCCTCCAGGGTCGGCGGCGCTGGGCGCAAGGCCTCCAGAAAAGGCCTGAAAAGTCTTGAGGAGCCCCTCCCGATAGGGGGTGACTGAGCTCTTTTTTCGCGGCCTTGCTGGAGGGCTGGGGTCCCACCAGCTGGCACGGGGGAGAAACCATCGACCAGGAATCGGCGATGCATCGCCGATCGATCGGCGAAGAAGGCCCCCCATGGCGGATGCGCGCGATGCTGCGCGAAGTGGGGCTGTCAGGAGGCTGTCGGCGTTCCGTGGGCGATGGAGGGCCGATGCGTTCCCGCCTGAGCCTACGGTCAGGTCGGGCACGTCCCCCTACGGGCGGATCTTAGGCAAGCATGAAAAACAGTCAAACCATACTCCAGAACCGCTCAAACAATGAACAAACATCGTCCCCAGGCGATTTCTGGTTATTTTCGAATATTCCTTCTTTAGAGGGGCATGCCAGACTTAAGCCCACAGTGGAGGCCCGACCACAAGAAAACTTCCACAAGAACCCCAACCCTGAGACCCCAGGACGTCCAGTGATTCTTGGTGTGGGAACCTCGCGCTCTCCATGGCAAACCATCGAAACCCAAGAAACCCGGGGCGCCCTGGAGACCAGCAGGGTTTCTCCTGGCATGGGCCCCCACTGCATCTCCCCCTTCATCGCTGCCCCTGAAGCTCGCGCGCCAGTCGCCCCCCACCCTTCTCGCGCTTGGACTCCAGGTCACTCCCAACTTCGCGCCTCGCGCCGCCTCGCTAGAAGAAGAAGAAGAAGAAGAAGAAGAAGAAGAAGAAGAATGACTAACAACTGCAGAAACATCCACTTGTGGCGCTCGGCGCGGATTTCTTGGATCTGCGCTCGACAACCCCCCCTGGCGCGCGGAGAACGCCAGGGGCGGCGCCGGAGGTGCCGCCGGGGGGCCCAGCGCGGATCCAAGAAATCCGCGCTGAGCGCCAACTAATTATGTTTACAGTGGAGGCCCACGCCAAGAAACATCCTGATTGCCTCCAGGGTGCCTTGGGTTTCTTGAGTTTCGATGGTTTTGCGATGTAAAGCGCGACGATACCACACCAAAAGTCAATGGACGTCCTGGGGTCTCAGAATTGGGTTTCTTGTGGAAGGTTTCTTTTGAACTGGCCTCCACTGCATGCAATTTGTCATTCGACTCGCGCGACACGATGCGCGACGCGCCGTCATCTTCGCGCCCTCCGCGCACCCGCGACGCCCCCGTGGAGAAGGGCAGCCGCTCTGTATGGCCCAGACCACTCGCGGCGGCCTCGGGGGCCGGCTCTAGGCTAATCCCACCAGCCCTCTGGGCGACAGGTGGTCTAACGGGGGTCTCTTTCCTCTTCCACGACCCTCTTCCCTTCGGGGAGGGGAACCCTTCCCATCCCCTCCCTGGATTTTTTTGGGGGGGGCCCGATGTGTCAGAGTGTCCTTCTTCGGCCCCTGGGAGGGTCACATTTTGACACCCCTCACGAGGATCGTGGCCCTCGAGAGGGGGAGCTACATCGAAGATCCCCCTCTTTTGACCGACCGCCTCCAAGAGGGCTCCCGAGAGGCCGCCCAAAGAGGCCCCAAGAGGCCTTCAAGAGGCACCGGCCCGAGAGGCACCCAGGAGGCCCCCGAGCGGCCTCAGAAGGCCCAAGATGACCTCCAAGATGGCTCAAGAGAGCCCAAGCTGGCTCGAGATGGCTCCCAAGAGGCTCCAAGAGGCCCCAAGACGGCTCGAGATGGCCACAGAGCCTCCCCAGGAGGCCGCCAAGAAGCCAACGCGGGCCCAGAGATGGCCACAAGACGCCGTCCAGGCTGGCCTCCCTCGATGTTTGACTGTTTGTGTCTCTTCCTCTCTCCCACCGTCAGATCTCATGGGCATCGTTTCTGGATAGGCTGGCGGGGATACGCTGAGCATCAAGACTTACGTTGGGAACATGCGGCCCGACGATGCAAGAGCCCCTTCCTCCTCATCCTACTCCTCCTGATCCTGCTGATCCTCCTCCTTCTCCTCCTCATCCTACTCCTCCTCCTCCTCGTCTTCCTCCTCCTCATCATCCTCCTACTACTCCTCTTCCTCGTCGTCCTCCTCCTCCTCCTCCTCGTCCTCCTCCTCCCCCTCTCCCTCCTCCTCCTCCTCCTCCTCCTCCTCCTCCTCCTCCTCCTCCTCCTCATCCTCCTATCCACCCCCCTCGATCCTAATTACGCCACTTACAAAAGGCCCTCCTCCTCCTCCGCCTCCTCCTCCTCCTCCTCCTCCCCCGCCTCCTCCGCCTCCTCCTCCCCCTCCTCCTCCTCCTCCTCCTCCTGCTCCTCCTCCTCCTCCTCTCCTCCTCCCCCTCCTCCTCCTCCTCCTCGTCCTCCTTCTCCTCCTCCTCCTCCTCCTCCTCCTCGTCCTCCTCCTCCTCTTCCTCCCCCTCCTCCTCCTCCACCTCCTCCTCCTCCTCCCCCTCCTGCTCCTCCCCCTCCCCCTCAAACAGGATGGTGGTCCGCGGCCCGACCTGGTGAGCTGCCTCCCCTCCGCTGCCTGCCTTGCGAAGATGGGTCGGCTCTCTGCGCGCGAACGATGCCAGTCTGGGAGCCGCAGGCCCGGCCGACCCTCGACGCGGCGGTCCGCTCCGCCAGCGGCTGTGCGGCGCGGCGCCCGTGCTCGGGAGGCACCCTGCCCCGGTGGCTTGCCCAGGCCGGGGCTCCTGCTGGTGATCCTCAGGACGTACTTCGGCGCCCCAGCGTGCTTGCCCCTCGAAGCCCTGCAATACGGCAGCGGGCGGTGCAATCAAGGCCATAGGGGGGCCGCGCGGCATCTGTAGAGCTGCTCCGGGTGTACACACGGCTTACGCGGGCCGACGGCGCGGCACCCGGCATTGGAAACGAGACTGCTGACGTGGAAGGCGGCCAGGGGGTCTCGGCTGGTTGGGCCCCGAGACTCGGGTCGGGCGAAAGGGGGGGATAGCAAAGGGGGAGTTTGAGAATCAGCTCACGCAGCTGATTTTCCCGGCGCCTCCCGGCGCCGGAGGCGGCTATGTATCGAGGAATGGGCCCCTCGGTGAGGCCGAAACCAGCCGCATGCAGCAAATTTCGTAACCCCCCCTTTCCCAATCCCCCCCTTTCGCCCGGCCCGAGAGACAATCGGTCCAGAGTTGGGGGAAAGCAAATCCGCTCAGCATCGGTGGTCGGACCCCTTCCCGGGGTCCACCTCGTAGAAACGTTTCACCCTGGGCCCGAGAACGGCCCCTGGAGATCGGAAACAAATTATTGAACATAACAGTAGTCGTAACAATCATAACAATAATAAGAAGAAGACGGACTAGAATAGTACGAGCAATGGGAATAACGATGATAATCATAATGATACTAAGCATAATACGAAGAGAAATTATAATACGAATGCGAATAGTAGTAGTAGTAGTAGTAGTAGTAGTAGTGGTAGTAGTAGTAGTAGTAGTAGTAGTAGTAGTAGTAGTAGTAGTAGTAATATTAATCTTCGTGGTAGTAGTACTAGAAGTCATAGTAGTCGTATAATATCAGTTATGATCAAAGAGCATATCGAACCCAGCACCTCGAACCTCCCCGCATCCCTCCTGCTTGCCGGAACCAGTGCTGGGCCACCTCAGACCCCCAGCCGACTCCAACTCCACCTTACGCAGGCAGCCTGCGCGCGATTTCGGCGCAGACGACCCAGTTTTTCTAGGTGGCTCGCACTGGGCCATCACACGTCATGAGGACCACCGCCGATGGCGCGAGCGCGGGCCACCGCCCGCTGCGAGAGCGTGGTGACGCGGGGCCGCGGGCCCGTGTTGGGCCCCCAGCGCGGCGCCTTCCCCGCGCGCGCGCGGCGCGCGTTGCCACTCTGCGTGATCGTGTGCCCGAAAGGCGGGGTTCGGAGGCAACTCCTGGGAGGCATTCGTCGGAACGATTGAAAACGATTGAACCCGATTCGGAAGCCACTGAGCCAGATTCGGCCAGATTAAGCGAGGGATCTTGGCGGATTAAGCAGGATGAAGAAACTCATTCGAGATTCAGCCAGATTCAGCGGGGGCATGTGGGATTAGGACAGTTTCCGCCCAGGGATACACCAACGCCCATTCAGAATTCGACATCCCAAGAGATGCAACCTAAGACGGATAAAAAACAAACATGCGATCAAAGCGTTTGACATCCAGAACCAAATGACGGGGACGATAAACAAAGATAAACATGTTTCTGGGTCGACGGCTGCGGCTTCGACGCCGATGACGACGACGAGCCGAAAACATCTGGTTCATCGTCAAATTCCCAACGGGGCGCTGCAATACCTCCCCCCCAACCTGGATATGTCTTCACCGTGTGGTTCCATTATGAATGACGTGTCGCATTCGGGAACACATCAGCGTGCTACCGCCGAGGAGGCACCAGGTCTTCGGACAAGAGTGCAGGAGCAACGCGGATAATAATGCGGTCACTATTTCTGGTAACGGTTCTGATCCTTTGGGGCGGGGGCGGGGTGACGGTACTTTACGCTTGGGCGACACCTCCGCAGGAATGCGTTGGAAATAGATTGGGCTTTCGCCCGTCCCCTAAAGAGCAGGGACGAGGGGCAACCGCTCAATCCTCGAAGGAGTGCACCTGAAAGTAGGTTGGGAGATGGGAATCCAGAAAAACATCAGAACGAGGGGGCCGAACGGTCACTCACTGTCCCTGGGTGCGTGCTTGAAGTGGGACTCCGCGATGCGGATTATTGTTGTTGCTCATATCCGCGACTGCGGGGTCCAACGGTGGTTTCAACGACCATCGGGTACTCTCCCGCCCCCTCCCGAGAGAGAGAGAGAGAGAGAACAAAAAAAAAAACAGGAGCCGACGGCCACAGGGGCCGAGGCGACGGCCACAGGGGCCGAGACCGCCGCGGCCATATCCGCCGCGCGCGCCAGGCTTTCGGGCACCGAAGAGACGGAGGCCCAGGGTGGCCAAATGTGCTCTGTCTTGGAACCCACGCTCTTCTGGAATTCGCGGCAACGCCGGTGACCGGCCCCGCCCCCCCCCCGTACGTCCCCCACGCCTTCAGCGCCCCTCTAACCCAAACCCTCTCGAGCAATGAAAAAATCATGACGGGAGGTTTTTCGCCATTTTCGGCCTCTGGGGGCCTTTACCGGGCCGCGGGACTGTCAAGAAACGGCTCAGAATGAAAAACCGGTCCCAGGGAATGGGTCGACACCCTTGGGGGTTGACGTCGTGGAAAAATCATGACGTCGGGGGTTTGGGAACAGGGACTCCACTAACGAGTACTTTGGCCAGTGACCCGGCGAACCCAACCCTTCCTGATGTGGGCAACGCTGCGATACCAAAAAAAAACCTAAAAAGGCAGCTTCGGGCAAATTTTCAAAATACCCGTTTGTGAGTACCTGTTACGGTGCCGCTGACCTCCGTTCACGTCACGCTTCGCGCTGGCGCCGTCTGGCAATGAGCCATTCCTAGGCATTCCTGGTCGGCGCCAGCGCGAATCGCGACGTGATCGGACCCCTTCCCCCCCGACCCCGATTGCGCTCGTTATCGCCAGAGGATGCAAAGCTGACCTTTGCGTTCGGCGCGCAAGACGCCACTGCCGCCTCGCGTTCGGCGATCGTGGGCCCCACTGGGCCCGCACCAAAGGTCACTATGGCAAGGGGTCACGCTTACGTGTAAACGACCTTCTCGGAAGGGTCGAAAGTCCCCTGGCCTTCGGAGAAGTGTTCCAAGCCTTCCCCGAAGGCACAAAACAACTGCGCAGAAGGTTGGAGGGCTTCTACGAGGCCCCACCGCCCTCTGAGAAGGCCTGTTCCGTCTCACTTTCCCCCCTCGCTCGCCGTCGAATGCTGGCCCCCCTCGCTGATCCAAGATACCCCCCTGGCCGCTCAGTGTGGCCACCCGACCACGGCCATCGGCTCCTACCTACTCCTACTGGCCGAAGATCAGATTCCTGAACTCCTCGAAGGTGACCTGCTTGTCCCCGTCCTTATCCAGCATCTCGAACATCTGCTTGGCGTCTTTTGGGCTCCCGCCCACCACGGCGTAGGCCTCTCGTAGCGACCAACGGCCGACGCCGACGCCTACGCCGACGACGACGACAACGACAACGACGACGACGACGATGACGACAACGACGACGACGACGACGGCCGACGCGGGACAGTGCAGCAAAACCACGGGCCACGAGCCCGCGGCTCCCCCAGCTCAGCCGCGAGCCGCCACCGCGGGCCTCTCGCGGCCTGCTGGTGCGCATGCGCGCGCAAACACGTGTGCGTGCGCACGCCTTCTGCCGCACTGCAGGAAAGGCCATAATCAAACCGATCAAAACACCATACACGTTGAGGAAACACCTTGGGTCATGCTCGTGGGCCCCGGGAGCACTTCGTATGCTTTAAACAGGGACGGCGGGGAGTCATCAGATTGCCTGCTGTGCGATAGGCCTCCACACGTGTCAACAACAAAACCATTAACTTCACAGCTGCATCTGGATCATGCACGGCCACCACGCGATTACTGTCCATGTGCCTTGACAAGGACTGCGGGGGTGCTAGGCCTAGCACACATCGTGATGGCCTCCCCGCCGCGACTGTACACTGGCAGTCGAGAACGATGGGGGCGACATGTATGTCGATGTGTGTTGTCACGTGCGCTCGCGCCCCTGGCACACTCTGCGCGTGCCCCAAACGTGGCGTATTTGGCGCGGCTGGACCCTACGACACACATGGCGCACGTGGCGCATCTGGAGCGCCAGGCGTGCCTGGCACGCCCAGGCGTGCCTGGCACGCTTGGGTAGCAGGGGTGCCTGTCGCACCGTGCTTGCGTGGCGCGCATGACACGCGTGGCGCAGCTCGCCCCAGCGTCGCGCACGTGGGGTCTGCCTGTTTTGGTTCCCAGTAGCTGCCCATCCATATACGACCGATGACCATGCTAAGGCTCGGGTGCTACTTCTGTTTTGGGAGGGAGGGTGGGAGTGAGCAAGACACTTTGCGGGTGGGGAGGTTGCCTTGATCACTACTTCCTATTAGACAACCGCTCCCCCATCATCCCTGTCAAAAAACCATGTGACCGCCACTTTGGAATAGAATCTTGGATCATGATCAGGGGAGGCGCGAGCACTTTGTATTCTGTTTTGACATGGAGGCGGCGGGGATGCCTGTCAAGAAAGACTGCAGCTTGCACTTCGAGGCAAAATCTGGATCATGCGCGGGCCCCCCGCGGTCACTGTGCATATTTTTTTGACTGGGACGGCGGGGGTGCTAGCATATTGCCTGCTATGTGTAGACCAACCAGGCGCTACAGTGGCCACCCCGCCGCGATGGCGGACTGGTTTTCGACAAGGGTGGTGGCAGCCGACACGTTTCCCGATGTGTACTGCCACGGTTGCAGGCGCACCACGCAGATCACGTGGCGCATCTGGCGCACCAGGCGTCCCGGCACGCTTGGGCGTCAGGGGTGCCTGGCGCACCTAGCGCGCGTGGCGCGCCTGGCACGCATGGCCCCCGCGTTGCGCACATGTGATCTGTTTTGGTTCTCAGTAGCTGCCGTCAAAGACGGCCGCTGCACCCACTGCGGCTTGGGTGCTACCCATATGCTGGGAGGGCAGGGGGGAGTGAGCGCGAGGACTTGCCGTCGGGGAGGGTGCCTCGATCACTGATCCCCATAAAATGAGAACTACCTCCCCCAGGCGACCAGCAGACAACCCGGACCAATGAGCCCCCCTCCCTCTCAGCAAAACGCACTTTGCCTCCAAATCTGGTGCATGCGCGGGCGCCCAGCGACTACTTTGCATTTGCTTTTGACAGGACGGCGGGAGTGCTGGCATATATATATATATATATATATATATATATAGACTACCTACCAGACCACCCCAACCCAACCCGAAGACCCGAATTTCGGGTTGGGGGGGGTAAGGGTTCCACATGTGTTTTTTCGATGTTTCCCGAACCCCCCCCACTGGAAATCGAGGGTAAATCTGAGCCTTCGGGTTGGGTTGGGGTGGTTTGGTGGGTGGTGATATATATATATATATATATATATATATATATATATAGATATACATTTATATATGTATATATATATATATTTGTATTGCTTGCTGCGCGCAGGCCAACCATACCTATCAAAAAAAAATGCAGAAAACAATTTGCCTCCACATTTGGAACATGTGCAGCTCCCTGCTTTCTTGAGTTCTCATATGTTCGTTTCACTACTCCTCAAGATGTCACAGTTTGACTGGAAGAGCCGCCATTCTCACAGAATGCTCGGCACTTCGCTTCAGGTGGACTCGAGATCCTGAACTCCTTGAGGCCAGGGCCCCAGGCACCTGGGCTCCATTTTGGTTCCTTGTAGCTTGCGCACCTGGCGCGGATGGAGCACGTGGCACAGTGCGCGCAGGTGGAGCATGCGCCGCACCTGGTACGCTTTGGCATCCAGAGTGCCCGGTGCACCTGAAACCCGTGGCGCGCATGGCATGCGTGGCTTTCCTAAGCGATCTACTGACCCTCGGATGATACTTCTGTGTTGGGAGGGCGGGTGACAGTAAGCTAGACGGCCTGCTATCTAGGCGGGTAGCTTGATTTCTCCCCCTACCCCCTACCCCTGGATCTGGATGGTGGGTACCGCGAAGCGATGGAGCGTCTAAGGTGGCCTCGACGAGAAAGCCATCATCATTGATGTTGCTCAGGTGTCAAGCCTCCTGGTGGAGGGCCGCTTAAGACCCCCTTGTTTTGCTCGATCACCGCCAAGATGGGACAAAGATGGCCCCCGAGGCTCCAAAGAGTGCCCAAAGAGGGCACCAAGACCACCAAGAGGTCCCCAAGACGCCCCGATGAGCCTGCAAGGAGCTCTCAAGAGACACCCGAGAAGAGTTCCAGCAGCATCCAAGAGGCAAGTGGCCTTTCTGTTCGCCCTGTTCCCTGTATAATTCCTAATCCGCTGAATCATCCTCCTCTCTCCTCTCTTCTCCCTCATCCATCCTCCCCCTCCACCTCCTCCTCTTCCTCCTCCTCATCCTCCTCCTCCTCCCCATCATCATCCTCATCATCCTCATCATCCTCATCATCCTCATCACCCTCATCATCCTCATCATCCTCATCATCATCATCATCATCATCATCATCATCATCATCATTATCATCACCACCACGACCACCACCACCACCACCACCATCATCATCATCATCATCATCATCATCATCATCATCATCATCAGCATCAGCATCAGCATCAGCATCAGCATCATCATCATCATCATCATCACCATCATCATCACCATCATCATCATCAGCATCATCATCATCAGCATCATGATCCTCCTCATCATCATCATGATCATCAGCATGATCATCATCAGCATCATCATCATGATCATCATCATCATGATCATTTTTATCATCATCCCCTGGTCTCCATCCTCTCCCTCTTGGGGGGTATGACGGCTTCCCAGCCTTTGCTCCACTGCGTGTTCTCCCATATGCCTGTTTAGGGCAACTCGCCTGGGCATCCTTCCTGGATGGGCTGGCGGGGTTACGCGAAGCGTCTAGACGTGAATCGAGTCGGAGGAGTCGTAATGAGCCCTGCACTGCGCCTCCCCTTCTATCTCAACCCGATCGGCGTGGTCGTTTTGCTCGCCCTGCGCGCTGCTCAAAATCTCGAATCTGGTTGGATCCCTGCCATCTTCTGAGAAGCTGGCCGCGCGCGTTCTCTCTTCGGACTTTCTTTGACTTGCGCGCGAGGCCGCGTCGCTGCGGTCCTGCGGTCCTCGACGCTGCGCGCGAGGCCGCGACCGTCAAAGAGTCTGCACACTGCTAAAATGCTCCTGCATGGCATGCTGGATGGTTTGAACGTCCCGAAGGTCTTGCGGCAAGATGGATGAGAACGAACGGCCCAGGACACTCGACCCCGACCCGCGACAACTGCTCCTTCCGGAATCGTCTTGCTGAAGGTCCTGGTGCACAGAAGCGGCCCCCAGTGCGCCGAAATCCAGAAGAGAACGCTGGAGGCATCGGTGCTCTGACGAGGGGAGCGATAGGGGGAACTGGCTCAGGGGGAACCATCGAGCCTGGATCGGACATACATCATCGTGAAGGGTTGGGCGACAGGCCCCCTACAGCGAAACCGCACCCTCCTTGGCGGCGTGTGTCAGCAGGCCCCCATCGGCGATGAATGGGAAAGCCTGGGAGGAAGAGGGGAAAAAGGAGGGGGAGGAGGGGAAGAATGAGGGGGAGGGGGGGGAGGGGACAAAGGAGGGGGATGAGGGGGAGGTGAAGAGGGAGGAGGAGGGGGAAAGGAAAATGGAGGGGAAGGAGAGTGGAAGGAGGGTGATGATTGGGGGTCGATGCATCCCCCCCCCCGAGCCTAGGAGGGGGAGGGGAAGAATGAGGCGGAGGAGGAAAAGGATGAGGGGGACAAGGAGCGGGAATGAGGGGGAGGGGGAGAGGGAGGGATGGAGAGGGGGAGGGAGGGAGTGAAAGGGTGAAGGGGAAGAGTGCAAGGGAGGGAGAGAAAGGGGGGAGTGAGGGAAAGGGGGAGGGGGGGAGAGGGGATAGGGAGTGAGAGGAGGGAATAAGGGGAAGGAGGCTGAGTGAGAGGGAGGGGGGAATGAGGGGAAGGGGAGGGAGGGAGAGGGTGAGGGAGAGATGGGGAAAGACAAGCCAGGTGCGCTCGCGCCACATCTGACATCCTGCTCCTCCCTCACGTCCCTGCCCATCCTCTTATGATGGTGCCTCTATCCGCGGACGCGTGTCATTGCCGAGCTGGAACCCAAGACACAAAAACGCGTCATGCGCAATCGATGGGGGAGCTGCGGACATGGGAGGGGGAGGTGGCGGGTGAGCACGAGGATGATCTGGAGGAAAAAACGAAGCAAAGAGGGAGGACATCGAACATGTTCTTATGATCCATCCTGGTGTGTGGAGAAAGCGCAGGAAAAGGAACAGCTGGAAGTAGGGCAAAAGAGGAAAACAGGAACAGGAACATATGGAAGTAGGAAATGGATAATAAGACGAAGCAAGGAACGAGGAAAACAAACATGATGTTATGTCGTA